CACAGCCACACACACACACACAGCCACACACACACACAGACACACACACACAGACACACACACACACTGCCACACACACACAGACACACGCAGCCCACCGGGCACAATTTGCAAGCGACTAGCGCGTTGCATCAGCCAGGCACGGAGAGAGAGGGGGGGGGTGGGGAGATACCGTGACTGACGCTGATCCTACTACTACTACTGCTGCCGCTGATCCTACTACTACTGCTGCCTCTACCCCTCTCCTGCTGATCCTACTACTGCTGCTGCCGCTGATCCTACTACTACTGCTGCCGCTGATCCTACTACTACTGCCGCTGATCCTACTACTGCTGATCCTACTACTACTGCTGCTGCTGATCCTACTACTGCTGCTGATCCAACTACTACTGATCCTACTACTACTGCTGCCTCTACCCCTCTCCTGCTGATACTACTACCGCTGCTGCTGATCCTACTACTGCTGCAACTCCTAGAAGCAGCAGCAGTAGTAGGGGCAGCTGCTGCTGCTCCTACTACTGCTGCTGCTCCTACTACTGCTGCTGCTCCTACTACTGCTGCTGCTCCTACTACTGCTGCTGCTCCTACTACTGCTGCTGCTCCTACTACTGCTGCTGCTCCTACTACTACTGCTGCAAGCAGCAAGCAGTAGGGGCAGCAGGCAGTCATTGGAATCTCGGGGTGAACTCTGGCGGCGAGGGGAGTGATTGATCGGGGGGGAGAGGCAAAGGGCGATAGCTGGAGATGTGTTCTGATTTCCCATCGTCTGCCCTGGCCATGGCCTATCCACTGCTGGATGGAGGTCTCTGCTAAGCCATGGCTATGACTGATCACCATGAGCCATGGTCTATGCACTGCTCTGTGTCTGGGTGTGTGTGTGTCACAGATGCAGTGACACACACACACCCAGACACAGAGTGACACAACAACAACAACAACCATTCGCCACTAAGTGGCGGTGACATCACCACGACGCTTGTGCCAGGCCATGTGCACCTTGAGGCCACGTGAAGTGTCGAACCCCCAAAGGCAGGTCATCGGGCAGAACCAGGTGCCACGGGTAGACTGACTGAGACGACCGAGATGACTGGCTGATGCACCACCTGTGCCCCCTACTGTGCCGACTTGCTGTGCTTTAGCCACCCGGCGCTCCGCTCGTTGTTGTGAGCATCGCTCCTCCGCCCTTCGTTGTTGTTGGAGGGCGACTGCCTCCAACTGCCCAGTAGCGTCCTTCACGAGCCTCCTCCACAGAGGCCGATCTTGACACCGCTGGTACCGGTCATCGGCAAGTCCACTCAGCTCCACGTCCTCCTGTACCACATCACTCCATCTTGTCTCTAGCCCGTGCCTCGCCCGTTTAGCCCCCTCAATCCGGCCGAACAAAAGCCGTTTAGGCATGCGGTGACTGGGCATGTGGGCTACATGACCCAGCCAACACAGCCTTGCCTGCCGGAGGAACTCACCGATGGGACTTTGTCCAGATCTTTCAAGGATGTGTGAGCTCCTCACACAATCCAGCCTGGTTAAACCCAGGATGGATCGTAGGCAGGCCAGCCTAAATGTTTAAAACCGGGGAAGATTTTCCATTAGGGGTGTCCACGTTTCGCAAGCGTAGAGAAGGGAGGGAATGACCGTGGCCGAGAAGACCCACAGCTTCGTGCGGAGTGATAGACCAGGTAGCTTCCACTCAACTGATTCGGAATGAGACCTCTGCTGTTAAACTGGAGCCGGTCATGAGCACACTGCCCAGGTATGGGAAACTCCACTCTCTCCACAACTGCCCCATCACCGATTGGGAGTTGTGGGGGTGGAGCGTCTGATGGTACAAAATACCCAGGCAGGTGCTTAGTTTTGGTGGGGCTGATGGTAAGGCCCCACACCTCTTAGTGGCACGCTCCAGACTCAGCAGCAGCGTCTCCAACTCCTCCTCTGAATGAGCAGCTATTATCAAATCATCGGCATACATAATGTGTCATCATTAGACCTCCTTTGCCAGTACCAAAATATAATAGGGGTTTTCCCATTTTTTCTGGCAACAAAACTGAAACCTTTTTACAAGGATTCATGTCTGCATTAACCACAATACCTGCAGTCAAAATGCAAACAGAAAACATACGGCTTTCTTTTGAGGCTCAAAAGAAAGCAGTCCCTTGGTGTGGACCAATCAGTTTCAAGGACAATGCATATATTATCATAGCATGTTTTCTGTTTGCATTTGACTGCAGGTATTGTGGTTAATGCAGACATGAATCCTTGTAAAAAGGTTTCAGTTTTGTTGCCAGAAAAAAGGGGAAAAACCCTATTATTATACATAACGTGGTTGAGCAATAGGGAGCCATCCCTTGACCGCACCCGGGCATCGATCAGCCTCCAATTGTATCTGTACCAGATGGAAATTCCTCCGGTACAGCTACTGAACGCTTCACGAACTACGTGGTCGAAATAGATGTTAAATAATGTTGGAGCCAGAGGACATCCCTGTCGCACCCCAAGGTGAAAAGGGAATTTCTCCGACTCCCGGCCAGAGTGACACACACACACACACAGATACAGTGTGACACACACACACAATTTGGGTTCAGTGTTTGCCAATCTTGTTATCGTGGTTGTTGTTGTTGTTGTCGGCCAGTGTGAGATATAACAACTTCATGTCCACACTGCACTGATGGTGGTGGTGATGATGATGATGACAGCTACGCGACAGAATCCATGACCCCAGAAAGAGACAGAGAGAGAGAGACACAGAGAGACACAGAAAGAGAGAGAGACACAGACACAGAGAGACACAGAAAGAGAGAGAGACACAGACACAGAGAGACACAGAAAGAGAGAGAGACACAGACACAGAGAGACACAGAAAGAGAGAGAGACACAGACACACACAGAAGAGAGAGACACAGAAGAGAGAGACACAGACACAGAGAGACACAGAAGAGAGAGACACAGACACAGAGACACACAGAAGAGAGAGACACAGACACAGAGACACACAGAAGAGACACAGACACAGAGAGACACAGACACACATACACAGAAGAGAGAGACACAGACAGAGAGACACAGACAGACACAGAGAGAGAGAGACAGCGTCAGGGGGAAGAGTTCAAGGGAGGCGATCTGGGGTCACATTCCGCAACGTGGCGCCACAATAGGCGCAGTGACGCGCAGTGACGCGCAGAGAGTGACACGCGCAGAGAGTGACACGCGCAGAGAGTGACACGCGCAGAGAGTGACACGCGGTGACACTAAGACAAAGGTCCCCCCGTGTAGCCTCTAGCAGGGCTGTAGGGGAGATATGCAGACTCCACATACACAGCAGCAGGGATCGAACCCAGGACCTCCTGTGTACCAGGCGAGGTAGTTCACATCTCCTAGGCACCGTGATGATGATGAGAGAGACGCAGACTCCACATAGACCTCCTGTAGACCAGGCGAGGTAGTCAACATCTCATAGCCACCGTGATGATGAGAGACGCAGACTCCACATAGACCTCCTGTAGACCAGGCGAGGTAGTCAACATCTCCTAGCCACCGTGATGATGATGATGAGAGAGACGCAGACTCCACATAGACCTTCTGTAGACGAGGCGTGGTAGTCAACATCTCCTAGCCACCGTGATGATGATGAGAGACGCAGACTCCACATAGACCTCCTGTAGACCAGGCGAGGTAGTCAACATCTCATAGCCACCGTAATGATGATGAGAGAGACGCAGACTCCACATAGACCTCCTGTAGACCAGGCGAGGTAGTCAACATCTCATAGCCACCGTGATGATGATGAGAGAGAGACACAGACTCCACATAGACCTCCTGTATACCAGGCGAGGTAGTCAACATCTCATAGCCACCGTGATGATGATGAGAGACACAGACTCCACATAGACCTCCTGTACACCGGGCGAGGTAGTCAACATCTCCGAGCCACTATGATGATGATGAGAGACACAGACTCCACGTAGACCTCCTGTAGACCAGTCGAGGTAGTCAACATCTCATAGCCACTGTGATGACGATGAGAGAGACGCAGACTCCACATAGACCTCCTGTATACCAGGCGAGGTAGTCAACATCTCATAGCCATCGTGATGATGATGATGAGAGACAGACTCCACATAGACCTCCTGTAGACCAGGCGAGGTAGTCAACATCTCATAACCACTGTGATGATGAGAGACACAGACTCCACATAGACCTCCTGTATACCAGGCGAGGTAGTCAACATCTCATAGCCACCGTGATGATGATGATGATGAGAGACACAGACTCCACATAGACCTCCTGTAGACCAGACAAGGTAGTCAACATCTCCTAGCCACCGTGATGATGAGACACATATTCCACATAGACCTCCTGTATACCAGGCGAGGTAGTCAACATCTCCTAGCCACTGTGATGATGATGAGAGAGAGAGACGCAGACTCCACATAGACCTCCTGCATACCAGGCGAGGTAGTCAACGTCTCATAGCCACCGTGATGATGAGAGAGAGATGCAGACTCCACTTATACCTCCTGTAGATCAGGCGAGGTAGTTAACATCTCCTAGCCACTGTGATGAGAGAGAGAGACGCAGACTCCACATAGACCTCCTGTAGACCAGGCGAGGTAGTTAACATCTCATAGCCACCGTGATGATGATGATGAGAGAGACACAGACTCCACATAGACCTCCTGCAGACCAGGCGAGGTAGTCAACATCTCCTAGCCACCGTGATGATGATGAGAGACACAGACTTTACATAGACCTCCTGTAGACCAGACGAGGTAGTCAACATCTCATAGCCACCGTGATGATGATGATGAGAGAGACACAGACTCCACATAGACCTCCTGCAGACCAGGCGAGGTAGTCAACATCTCCTAGCCACCGTGATGATGATGAGAGACACAGACTCCACATAGACCTCCTGCAGACCAGGCGAGGTAGTCAACATCTCCCAGTACCGACCGTGGGGAGAGACAAAGGCGGCCGGGACCGAGGAGCTTTGACATCCTCACCTCAAGCTGCCCAGGCGTGGATAGGCGCTTGCCATTTGAGTCGAGATCTGAGGTAAACTTTTGCACGACTAACTAATTTTTTTTTTTAAACAATCCCACCGCTTACGATCGCATTACTTTGTCGTAACAATGCACACGCGCGCGCGCGTGTTGTTGTTGTCGTTTGTTTTCTTTAAGAAAATTGCACAATTTAAAGTTCTAAACTTCGTTCCTTTACAACTGCGGCGAGTGAGTGAGTTTCGAGCGCGCCGCTCCTTTTATACCGCGGGGGACTGGGGAGGGGGGAGGAGACTCGTCGCCTGAGCACGAACCTCGAAATCCGCGTAACGCTCCGCCGCAGGAAAAAAAAATAATCCCTCACCTCACCCGCCTCCTCCTATGAACGCTGAGGTTAAAATCGATCGCTCGGATGTATCGTCATTTGGCGTAAAATGTTTAATCGATTTGTGAGTTGAAGTCGTTGTTGTCGTTGTTGTTGTTGACGACGACGCGGTGAAGAGGTTACCTGTTTGATTTGGTGGCAGGCACGCGCATTGATACGCGGTGCCCGCTGTGTCGGACTTCCGGCTTGGCGCGCAGGCGGTTGGCTCGGCGGTGTCACGTGACGCGTGCCGGGAAAACTCGTTTAAATTGCACAGAGATCCACAGAGACCCATAGACTCACACAGAGACCCACAGACTCACACAGAGACCCATAGACTCACACAAAGACACATAGACTCACACAGAGACCCATAGACTCACACAGAGATCCATAGACTCACAGAGACCCATAGACTCACACAGAGATCCATAGAGACCCATAGACTCACAGAGACCCACAGACTCACACAGATACCCATAGACTACTCACACAGAGACCCATAGACTTACACAGAGACCCATAGACTCACACAAAGACACATAGACTCACACAGAGACCCATAGATACCCATAGATTCACGCAGAGAGCCATAGAGACCCATAGACTCACACAGAGACCCATAGACTCACACAGAGACCCATAGAGACCTATAGACCCACACAGAGACCCATAGAGACCCATAGACTCACACAGAGACCCATAGACTCACACAGAGAGCCATAGACTCACACAGAGACCCATAGACTCACACAGAGAGCCATAGAGACCCATAGCCTCACACAGACCCATCGACTCACATAGAGACCCATAGACTCACACAGAGACCCATAGAGACCCACAGACTCACACAGAGACCCATAGAGACCCATAGATTCACGCAGAAAGCCATAGAGACCCATAGACTCACACAGAGACCCATAGACTCACACAGAGACCCATAGAGACCTATAGACTCACACGGAGAGCCATAGACTCACTCAGAGACCCATAGACTCACACAGTGACCCATAGAGACCTATAGAGACCCATAGACTCACACAGAGACACATAGAGACCCATAGACTCATACAGAGACCCATAGAGACCCATAGACTCACACAGAGACCCATAGAGACCCATAGACTCATACAGAGACCCATAGAGACCCATAGACTCACACAGAGAGCCATAGAGACCCATAGACTCACACAGAGACTCATAGAGACCCATAGACTCACACAGAGAGCCATAGACTCACAGAGACCCATAGAGACCCATAGACTCACACAGAGACCCATAGAGACTCATAGACTCACACAGAGAGCCATAGAGACCCATAGACTCACACAGAGACCCAGAGACACTCATAGACTTACACAGAGAGCCATAGAGACCCACAGAGACTCATAGACTCACACAGAGACCCATAGAGTCACACAGAGACCCATAGAGACCCATAGAGACCCATAGACTCACACAGAGACCCACAGAGACTCATAGACTCACACAGAGACCCAGAGACCCATAGAGTCATACATAGACCCATAGACTCATCACACAGCAGAGACCCATATACTCATCACACAGCAGAGACCCATAGACCCATCACAGACAGGGACCCATAGACTCATCACACACCAGAGAGCCACAGACTCATCACACAGCAGAGACCAATAGACTCACCACACAGCAGATAGCCGTAGACTCATCACACAGCAGAGAGCCATAGACTCATCACACATAGAGAGCCATAGACTCATCACACAGCAGAGAGCCATAGACTCATCACACAGCAGAGACCCATAGACTCATCACACAGCAGAGAGCCATAGACTCATCACACACAGAGACGCATAGACTCATCACACAGCAGAGACCCATAGACTCATCACACAGCAGAGACCCATAGACTCATCATACAGCAGAGACCCATAGATTCATCACACAGCAGAGACCCATAGACTCATCACACAGCAGAGACCCATAGACTCATCACACAGCAGAGACCCATAGACTCATCACACAGCAGAGACCCATAGATTCATCATACAGCAGAGACCCATAGACTCATCACACACAGAAACCCATAGACTCATCACACACAGAAACCCATAGACTCATCACAGACAGGGACCCATAGACTCATCACACAGCAGAGACCCATAGATTCATCATACAGCAGAGACCATTAGACTCATCACACAGCAGAGACCCATAGACTCATCACACAGCTGAGACCCATAGACTCATCACACAGCAGAGACCCATAGATTTATCACACAGCAGAGACCCATAGACTCATCACACAGCAGAGACCCATAGACTCATCACCCAGCAGAGACCCATAGACTCATCACACACAGGGTCCCATAGACTCATCACACAGCAGAGACCCATAGACTCATCACACAGCAGAGACCCATAGACTCATCACACAGCAGAGACCCATAGACTCATCACACAGCAGAGACCCATAGACTCATCACACAGCAGAGACCCATAGACTCATCACACAGCAGAGACTCATAGACTCATCACACAGCAGAGACCCATAGACTCATCACACAGCAGAGACCCATCGATTCATCATACAGCAGAGACCCATAGACTCATCACACACAGAAACCCATAGACTCATCACACACAGAAACCCATAGACTAATCACAGACAGGGACCCATAGACTCATCACACAGCAGAGACCCATAGATTCATCATACAGCAGAGACCATTAGACTCATCACACAGCAAAGACCCATAGACTCATCACACAGCAGAGACCCATAGACTCATCACACAGCAGAGACCCATAGATTTATCACACAGCAGAGACCCATAGAGTCATCACACAGCAGAGACCCATAGACTCATCACCCAGCAGAGACCCATAGACTCATCACACACAGGGACCTATAGACTCATCACACAGCAGAGACCCATAGACTCATCACACAGCAGGGACCCATATATTCATCACACAGCAGAGACCCATAGACTCATCACACAGCAGAGACCCATAGACTCATCACACAGCAGAGACCCATAGACTCATCACACAGCAGAGACCCATAGACTCATCACACAGCAGATACCCATAGACTCATCACACAGCAGAGACCCATAGACTCATCACACAGCAGAGACCCATAGACTCATCACACAGCAGAGACCCATAGACTCATCACACAGGGACCCATAGACTCATCACACAGCAGAGACCCATAGACTCATCACACAGCATAGACCCATAGACTCATCACACAGCAGAGACCCATAGACTCATCACACAGCAGAGACCCATAGACTCATCACACAGCAGAGACCCATAGACTCATCACACAGCAGAGACTCATAGACTCATCACACAGCAGAGACCCATAGACTCATCACACAGCAGAGACCCATCGATTCATCATATAGCAGAGACCCATAGGACTCATCACACACAGAAACCCATAGACTCATCACACACAGAAACCCATAGACTAATCACAGACAGGGACCCATAGACTCATCACACAGCAGAGACCCATAGATTCATCATACAGCAGAGACCATTAGACTCATCACACAGCAGAGACCCATAGACTCATCACACAGCAGAGACCCATAGACTCATCACACAGCAGAGACCCATAGATTTATCACACAGCAGAGACCCATAGACTCATCACACAGCAGAGACCCATAGACTCATCACCCAGCAGAGACCCATAGACTCATCACACACAGGGACCTATAGACTCATCACACAGCAGAGACCCATAGACTCATCACACAGCAGGGACCCATATATTCATCACACAGCAGAGACCCATAGAACTCATCACACAGCAGAGACCCATAGACTCATCACACAGCAGAGACCCATAGACTCATCACACAGCAGAGACCCATAGACTCATCACACAGCAGAGACCCATAGACTCATCACACAGCAGAGACCCATAGACTCATCACACAGCAGAGACCCATAGACTCATCACACAGCAGAGACCCATAGACTCATCACACAGGGACCCATAGACTCATCACACAGCAGAGACCCATAGACTCATCACACAGCATAGACCCATAGACTCATCACACAGCAGAGACCCATAGACTCATCACACAGCAGAGACCCATAGACTCATCACACAGCAGAGACCCATAGACTCATCACACAGCAGAGACCCATAGACTCATCACACAGCAGAGTCCCATAGACTCATCACACAGCAGAGACCCATAGACTCATCACACAGCAGAGACCCATAGACTCATCACACAGCAGAGACCCATAGACTCATCACACAGCAGAGACCCATAGACTCATCACACAGCAGAGACCCATAGACTCATCACACAGCAGAGACCCATAGACTCATCACACAGCAGAGTCCCATAGACTCATCACACAGCAGAGACCCATAGACTCATCACACAGCAGAGACCCATAGACTCATCACACAGCAGAGACCCATAGACTCATCACACAGCAGAGACCCATAGACTCATCACACAGCAGAGACCCATAGATTCATAGAGACACATAGGCTCACAGTAGCAGCAGCAAAATCGCCCCATGTACTGCACCAAACCTGTCAAAACCCTCCAGAGCATGAGTGGAATTATCATCATCACACCACTACCATCACACCATCATCACACCACTATCACCATCATCATCACACCACTACCATCACACCATCGTCATCATCACACCCCTACCATCACACCATCGTCATCATCACACCACTACCATCACACCACTACCATCACGCCATCGTCATCATCACACCACTACCATCATCACCATCGTCACCATCACACCACTACCATCACACCACTACCATCACACCATCGTCACCATCACACCACTACCATCACAACATCGTCATCATCACACCACTACCATCACACCATCACA